ATAAACAGGCAGTGTACTCATGACCTCAACAACCTACACATCACTCTGGAGGATGAAGTATGACAGAGAAGTTAACAGTGTAATAAAGATGATCTTGCTGCATCTAAGGCCAAGCTAGGAGGCCAGACACCCTGGATCTAGATCATTCTGAGCTTTGCCATGCACAATTTTCAAATTATCAAAAAGCTGCCCTTGCCCCAAGAAGCAACCACATTTTCAATCCAGGTGAATGTCTGCCTACTTATGTTGCCTTGGCTGCAAGAAAGAAAAAAAAAAAAAAAGGAGCAACGGTTCTGCTTCACAGAACGTTAATTATTTATCCTGATACAAACCTAATTACCTGGCAGTGCATGGAAATAAAAAACAGGGCATTAAAAAGAATGAAATAATTAAAATATATTGATAATGAGCGCACACTGCTATATTGACCCAACGATGGTTAAGATATCAAAGATGCACTCTTCAAAGGGGTATTATTTTGTAATTAAAAAGAACTGCAGAAAAAGAAACTGAAGACATGATAATTATACAGTGCTTCCAGCAAATGCCATTTAAGGAAAATAATACTGTGTAAAAAGAAGCTAACATGGGGGAAAAAACCTGAAAAGGAACTTGCCGTTGATATGAGTAGGATCAATTATACATGTCTGCAAGGCGATAGTTACCTGTGATAGACTTTCAAATACCAGACACTGGAAATATTAGTTGCAAAGTCTGGTTGTTTTGAAGGGGGATGGTTTGTCATTGTCACCATGGACCTTCCATCACTGGGCTGTCTTCTATGGAATCACAGCTACCACTACCAGACTCTATTCTTAAATTCAGTTTTGTTTAAGAGTGTCCAATCTGTCCTCATTCACCACAAAGATGGCCTTCTTGCCAGACTGACGGACAGTACTGTTCATGTTTTTTAGGGACCAGATGCTTGATTTGATCAATGGAGAAAACATTTGAGTTCAAAGTCATTGCTGGCATCAATCAAGGCAAACATTCTTTCACTCCTCAGCTCTCTTCCAACTGGGTGGGCATCCTCTTCAGGGAAAGCAATCACTACACATTCAAAAAGAATGAGTGGTTTGGACCAAGTTATGTCTAGTCTTTCTGATGATGTTGGGGCCAAGCCAAAATAGTTTTATTGAGGAAAAACAATAAGAGTTATAAGCAGCTAGCCACATACGCTGACAGCCCTGACTGATCATTTAGTATTGCCTTAAGGTGATTAGAAATTTAATTGGTATATAGTGATAGGAATTCCATATAACACTGTGGGGTCTAATTCATATTTATTGCTACCTTTAAGACAAGGCCCAATATGGAGACAAATTTGTACTCCATATAAATTGAACATGCATTTTAATCTACCCCATGTCACCCTATCTCTATGAGGAAAGCTGTCAGTGATTAAGAAAAGTGGATCAGGGTCTGTATGGTCCTGAGAACCCTGGTACTTGTGGAAGACAGGTACAGCTCAGACATACAGTGAAGGATTTAACTCAGTCAACTTATTTTGTTGAAGACATAAATGATGCAAACTTGAAATCCAGCCCATTCAAATCAGTCAACATGTGTGATACCTACTTGCAAAGCACTATTGAATTTTGGAAAGAGTTTAGAATAGAGGGGAGCATAGATTGTTCAGGGAGCAGCATTCTCCACCTTCATCCCATACTTGGACAATCACTTCTTCATGCTTATATTTTTGAGAACAAACACAGTTGTCCCAGCTGATCAGAGGACTTCCCTCTACAAATGACAGGGACCCTGACCCCAACTTTGCATGGCATCCTCTCATGTGCTCAGGTACAGGTCAGTTTGGCTTGTCCTTTGACTGCCTTCTTTCCTAAGGTACAAATTCTATTATGGCACTTCTGTATTGGTCGTTGCTCTGACTACAGAGTTAACTATCAATGAATATTCATTAAAGAAGGAAGGAGGGGGACTCACAGATTGAGAGAGTCACTAAGATCATCTTTAGACATTAATTTAATATCCTGGAAGCAAATATGACTATCTACAAAGTTACCTCATCAGGAGAAGGGGAAAATTCTTTAAATGTCCCTTTCTAAGTTTGATAAAAATTCCATTAAAATATAACTCAATATATTTCATATCTATTCCCAGTCTTGCCCAAAGATACCAAAACTACGATTCATTAACAAATGCTTTTGTATGTGGTGAATAAGCATGTGTTTCGGGCACACAGGAACTTATACGTGGAGGTACGTGGAGGCTGGAAGTCAATATCACATGCCTTCCTCGATTGGTCTTCATCTTTATATATTTTTTTAATTTTTAAATTTTTATTTTTTTATTTTATTTTTTTTCCTTTTATTTTATTTTACAATACCATTCAGTTCTACATATCAGCCCCGGATTCCCTTGTTCTCCCCCCTCCTGACTCCCTCCCCTTCCCCCCCCCCGGCCCACCCCCCATTCCCACCTCTTCCAGGGCAAAGCCTCCCCCAGGACTGAGATCAACCTGGTAGACTCAGTCCAGGCAGGTCCAGTCCCCTCCTCCCAGACTGAGCCAAGTGTCCCTGCATAAGCCCCAGGTTTCAAACAGCCAACTCATGCAATGAGCGCAGGACCGGTACAACTGCCTAGATGCCTCCCAAACAGATCAAGCCAATCAAGGTCTCTCACTGAACCTGAGAACATTTGTTTGTCTGAGCTGGCTGAACATCAGAGATCCACCTATCTCCTGCTCCCTCAGCCTAGAGCTGGGGTGACAGGCATACATCCTCATGTCCAATTTCTACATGGGTACTTGGGATCTGAACTCAGGTCCTCATGCTAACATTGGAAACATTTCACCAACTGAGCCATCTCCCCACCCTGAAGAAATCTTTTTAAAAGAAAAGTGCCTTTTATGATTTCTATGCCTGTTTTCTGATCATTAAAGTAATGTATATTCAATATATAACACTTGGAAAATACAAAAAGCCAAAGATAAAGCTTTCTAGAGCAACTACCCAGACATCATTCTGTTTAGTGTATCAGTCTGTTCTATTTCTCCAGGTCTGTTTTCCCCTGCTTGTCTGTATCGTGTATCTAGTTGAGATTGTATGGCATATATACAATTTGTTACTTCAGTTTTTTTCCTGCCTATCATAGTGACATAATTTTCACATGCCAAGAGTTAATCAGTTCTCTACTTTTAGATATTGATATTATTTTCACTTCTCACTACTATAAATATTTCCATAATGTCAAATATGATAAATCATCCCAACAAATTTAGGCTTCTATTGCCATTGTGTGTGCATAATTAGGAAAGGAAGAGGCACATGCTTCCACTTTGAATTTTCCTAGAACAAAAATATGAAAAACTTTAAAGAGTCAAGAAAAAAAAAGAAAAAAGAAAAGAGTCAAGAAAGAAAGAAGTTGGCTGGGTTGTTCCTCAGGAGAAGGGTACTTGCCTAGAATATGTGAGGTGCTGGGTTCTGCCCCTAGAAAAGCAAAACAAATACACACACAAAGAAGAAGAAGAAGAAGAAAAGAACAAAGAATACAGAAACTAACAACCCAGGCCAGAAACCTTTTGCCTATCATGACCTGGCTTTTCTACCAATGAAAAGGTGACTTGGTTCTTCTGTGACTCCAGATCATGTCACTGAATCTGAACAGCCTGTGGCTTAATATTTGGTGAAAAGACATTAGGTATGTGATCCAACTTTATTTTCATTTTGAGTGTTTTTTCTGTATTTCCAATGAGGTTTGTTATGTGAAAGAAAACACAGCTGTATTTTCTCCCAAGTAGAGAAACAGACTCCCTCAACTACCCATCCTCCAGGAGACAGACTCCCTCAACTACCCATCCTCCAGGAGACAGACTCCCTCAACTACCCATCCTCCAGGAGGATTTTTCCAGAGAATTCTTGGTTGATCTGTACCTGCCCCAATTAGACATACCATGCACATGTCACACTCACCTACCTATGGATAATTGCTTTTTCTATCACCTCTGTGCCAAATGTCATAGCTAACCTGATGAGCCACTGTGAAGATTAGTAAATAGAGGGCTCGTGGCTGCTGCAAAGGGTCTTTGAAATGCCCAAACTAGGAAGTATTGTGGCAGTGAAGAACCCCTAAGACTTGGACAGCATCTCTGACCCCAGCTAGTCAAATGAACCAAGAATCTACTTGTTCTGTTCACCAAAATAAAGTATTTTGTTTCAGACAAAGAGTGGTACAAATAAACCAGGGATACGTAGGTCAACAGTGTCCTTGCTCTGTTTATTTGGGTGATTTGTGGTTCCTACACTTTGAGGAAACTCCAGCATCCTTATTTGACTTAAAGTCATTTGCTCTGGGTGAGAAACAAGCTAAGGACATCTTTAAAATTCATCCACTTTCTAGACTATGGTTTTATTGAGTGGTAAAGGACACATACCTTAATGATTAAGAAGGGGAGCCAGATTTAAAAAGCAACAAAAGCTTGCCAGCATTTGAAAATCTTGTGTGTCTCTGCTAAGGCTGGGTTCAAAAGCTACATCCTTGCAGGCCATTGTTATTTCAATTCATGTGTAACACGAGTAGTGAAAGCAAGTTATGTGGGAAGTAGTTCAATATCATTATCGGGACATTTTCCCTCACTTGGACAGTATTGAAACATGGGACATTAATTTTTTAAGCCCTTCATCCCAAACTTGCTTTTCATTATAATGAATTGCAATTTAACATTACACATAAAACATAGACACACACACACACACACACACACACACACACACACACACACACACACACAAATGATCAGTCTTATTTTGTTTCCCAAATACCATCATACCCCTAATTAGGTTTTCATTAATATGTTCGTGGAATCTTTGAAAAGCCTGGCACTGTCCTTATCTCTGTAGAGTTATGTGTTGATTGCCGGAGGTGATTTTTCCATTGGATCTCACAAGTTGGTTTGAAATGATTTGTCTTTGTGTCTGAGAGAGCTCCTTGAACAGGTTGGGGATGGCTGGAGCAGCCACTTCGCCTGCCTGAATTCTTACCTGGAGATCTGGCTGGCTTCTGCGGCCCAGGCTTCAGCTGTACAAATACATCGTGCCATCTGCACATGGCGGGGGAATTGAGCCCGGAGACGCTCAGGACCTGTGTCAGTATTTTCACAGAAGGACTGTTTATGAACAGATGTTCTGTGGTGTTTTTCACAGAAAATGGACTCTGGAGAGCGAAAATGTCTATCAATTACCGAGGTATTATGTATAACAGCAATTTTTAACCTTGAGAATGAGTCTCTGAAAGTTCTCAACAAAATATTGTCAACTGTGACCACTTTCTTTGTCTCGAGTGAGATGCAACCTGGGGTCATATGCAAAGTAGCCACTGTCAGGTTGTGGGGTGATCTCTCAGCTGGAGAGGCTGAATGAATTCTCTACCCAACCAGGAGTCCCCGATGCTAATATACTTTCACAAGTGGTAAGATCTTGCTGCCTATAAAACTGCTGTTGCCTTCTCTGTTTTTTTCTAGTAGGAAAAAATAAACTTTAAAATTAAACTGTGGGATGGAATGACCAACTAGATTTTTTTTTTTTAAAATCAAATGCTCTTAGTGTGCTCCATTGCTTTGGTTAAAAGGCTTTAAGTGGTTCAAAAATGCTAATTATGCCTGAAAAATTAAGCATTTAGAGTTTTATAAATGAACCAGTTTGCTCTAACCTCCTTCCTGGATTCAACCCGAGGCACACAGAGACGGCGGAGTCCATGGTGTCTCGTGGCTGATGCTCCAGGAGATGGAATTATCTCCAGTAGCAATACCAGGAGCATGGAAGCCCCTCTGTGACCTGTTGACAGACACCATGTTTTGCATAATATATATATTTTCATTTTCCCTTAGCTTTCTTATTATTTATTCAATAAATCCTTTTTTCTTGCTGACAGCAGTTGTATTTATAAAGCTAAATCCAACACAGCAAAATGTTCATCACTTTATAAACTAAATGCTAATGTTTTATTTATGTGCAATGAAGAGAGAAAAAAGAATTGAATTGATGTTTACCTACCAGGAAGCAGAGAAGTGCAGTACCATAATGGTGGAGTTCAGAAGCATTCTGGCTTGTAATTTTGGGTGTCAACATTTGAATTGCAGAAAGAGTTTATGCAGACATAGCACGTACACAAGTGCAGTTTAGATCCACATCTATAAAAATAACATCTGTTTAAGCATACATTACATTTAAAAATAACTGTACAGTGATCAGCTGGTTAAGTACAGTTAACCAGATGTCGATTTAAAGGGCCAGATGGAACCATGAAACGAAGATTGAAAAATTAAAAAATACTGTGAAAGGTCAAACCAATTAAGCAACCTGTTTTGTTGGCATGTAATAGTTAAAAAAGTAAGTTAAAGTGCTTCGGGGGCGAGTGGCTGGAAGACACAACCCTGCAGCCAGGTCCTGTTCCTCAAAAGATAATCGGGGAACATCTAGGGCACCCCTGGAATCCAGAAGAACTCACTCACACTAACATCAAGAAGACCGGTTTTCCTGTGGTTCCAAGCAAGCCTGAAATCAGGAACTAGAGGAATCTCAGGTACCAGACACAAAATGTCTGTGAAACGGCGTTCTTGAGGGTATAGGACTCCTGTACACCACAATGACTACAATTAAGGAAACGTATCTACACTTGAACCATAAAGAGTAGCTATTAAGTATTGTCAACACACGCACACACACATACACACACAGAGACACACATACGGACACAGACACATACACACATGCACACGCGGTAATACTATATGAAATAACTTTAGCCATTTAACAATGTGTACATGTGCCAAAACATACTGTAGTACAGGAATATGTATAATTATTAATTTTTTTATGAAAAGGGGTAAGGAAATAGATGTTTTCTTAATATAATTCACAAGCTTCACTGGTTTCTCGGCTGCTTTTTTTTTTATTTTTTTTTATTTTTTATTTTTTTTGGTGTTTGTCCTCTAACAAAAATGTAAACTTATGTTACAAAGTCAGAGGACCCAATGAAATGTTCCAAAGTACAACCTATATGCAAGTTAAGAATTTTAGCATAACAGTGAATAAGACTAAACATGTTAACCTACCGCCTAAGTCATAAATCAGTTCCTTAAACCCACGGCATCGGGTGACTCTCTGAAACACTCAAGTTGCTTATTTTTCTTTTCTCATGTTGGGTATGACAAGGAAAAGATGAGACAAATATTTGTGGAATAGCTATAATGAGGCAGGCAGGCTCTGTTACAAACATGTCTGCATCCATCAGGGGTCACTGCGGGAGGCTCCCGGGGCCGGTGTGGCTGCAGATGTGTTTTCTTTGGCTTTTACTATGCTTTAAGTTTGAATTAATTGCCAAAAAGTAAAAATTGGGAGGTTTCACATAAAAGCCCGGATTTCCAGCTTCCCGGAAAATCTGGCAATCCCAGGTCTGAGGTTTTTTTTTTTTTTTTTTTTTTTTTCTTTTTCTTTTTCTTTTTTTTCCCCCCATTGGAGGGAAAATATACTGGCTAGAGCTGAAAGAAACAGCTGCCTTTGGAGAAGAGCACAGATTCTCCCCTTTGTCATGAGCAAATTCACAGTGTGTCAGCATCTTGTCCCCAGCCCACTGTCCTCATTGTGGTACCCATCCCGTTCTGGATGTCTTTACACCTTCGAGTCTGGGAGCCGTCAACTCCTTGGTACTCAGTCACCCTCAGTACAGAGAGTACAGTTTGTTATTGATAGTTTATTGGAAAGTGAACCCAGAGGAGTCCATGTGTCTCCCCTGAGTCATCCTGCTAACAAACAGCACTGATGGTCACATTGGAGTCCTGTGGCACCACTCTTCCTCATAAAGCACCTTGACTTGAGACAGTCAAAGCCACGGGCCTCTCACTTGTCATTCACATAGCAGCAGGCAGAGCTAGTCCTATGGAAGGTACAGGTACATTAGAAGTACCTTTGAGGCTTCACAAAAAGCGACCCACCACCCATGGACCTGATGTAAGTACTTGTAGCCATAGAGATTTCATTTACCCTTCCTAGTGCAAGTCCAAAAACTGTGACATCTTTCCCTAGCAGGGTCATAGGGCTGAGCAGAACCCCTAGGCTGCATTTGAGCTGAATGGGATGAGATGATATAGCTGGGAAGGAAGAGGACAATCACCTGGATCATGGGAGCACTCTGTGTGTGTGTGTGTGTGTGTGTGTGTGTGTGTGTGTGTGTGTGTGTGTGTATTGATTAAAGCACAATTTCTTTTCTTTTTCCAGCACTAACTTTTTTAAAGTATATTTTCCATAGCACATGAGTATCACAATAACAAATAGCTGCTAGGCAAGTTGTATTTTCTACCTAAATATTCATTTTTTTCCAAGTTGAAAGCCTTTTTCTTTACTGCGCTTGCTACTCCAGTTTTAAGGGGAAACCGTCATTAAAGCAATGTAAAGGGAAGGTAGCAGGGAGAGACATTAACATACCCTATGGCATTAGCCCAGGAAACCATGAAGCAAATCGCTCTGTAGCAATCCAATGGCACCTTTGAAAAGGAAGGCACTATCCAGTGTGGGCTAAAGTCATGTGATCCCATCCAGGAAGAGAAACTGAGTCACGTGGGGCAAAGGAGACTTCTGTTTTCATTCTCTGAGGTGAAAAGAAACTCTTTTTAGTTAGCTTGCAGAGTTGCAAGTTCCCATGTGGTATCGTAATATATACTTCATTGTGATTGACACTTGCCCTGAGTCTTAGAGCTCCTCACCTTCTCTATGACCACCTCCTATTAATACTCTTCCACTCCCAGTGTCCCCTTCCACTTCTGTACCACTGATGCTGTCTTCTCTTCCCCACACCACTTCCTTAAAGCTTCTTTTTGCCTCCCTTGTGGGCTCTTGCACGCACACTCACTCCAGAATTATGCTTTTAAAGGGACAGAGTCCAGAGGACAGAGGTGGAGGAGGAAGGAAGGATGAAAAGACAAAGTTGAGTAAGTAAGGATTTTAAAGGAAAGGCAACAATAACTCGAGAATGCAAGGCTCCACCCACCTACTCCTCCCACAATATAATGAATGAAAGAGAAGTGTCAAACGATGTTTAAAGTCTTTTTAAAAAAATACTATAGCAAAGCTATATTCAAGGCCTACTTGTGGTATTGGAGATTTGGGAAGAAAAAGCAGTATTTTTGGACCCTGTTCAAATAACCCAGAAGACACTGTGTCTTGATCATTTGAAATAGCATGAGTAAGCAATCGTGGGTGGTAAATATCCTGGACTTAATGCTGCCAAGACCTGACTCCTCAGTCATCCGAGAGAGAAAATCCTTGTCAGAAAAAAAAATAGCAAAATGGAATCTGAGATTTGAAAAAATAAATAGATAAATAAGGTGGCTTTTAGAAAAGGTGTGTGAAGAAGGCAGTTAAAGAAGAGGGAGAAAACCTTCACCAGGAGCGGAATGACTGGTTCTCTCACTCAGAATCCACTCCTTCCTCCTCAGTTAAATGAACTGTTAAAAGGTCCAAACAAAGCTGCAGCTACTGAGCCAAAAATAACTTGGGAGCTCGAGGAGCAGATGGCTCCACCTCCCCATCTGATCCCAGCACATCCATCACCTCCCTCCACTCACTTGCAGGGCCACAGAGGAAGGCAGGCTCTGGAACAGTTGACAGGCCAAGAGGAGGCCAGAGAAGCCAGTGCTCGGGCTGCCCACGGAGCCCTGTTAATAATGCCGAGGTGGACATCTCTGCTTTCAGATTTGCAGGAATGTGCTAGAAGCAAAGCTGCCCTCCTCATGAAAACTCATCCCTTGCCGGCTGATGGTGTGACTCATGGGGGAAGTTCAGTCTGGGATGTAGGCATCCGTCACACAGTCCTGAGGCTGCAGAGATTAAAATCTAGTGGAGGGGAAAGGAGTTACATTTGGTGAATGACATGAACCATTGAGCCACTTTCCCAATCACTTGGGGTGTCTTTCCTATGAAAAGATAAAGAGGAAAGCCAGTCCTCTGACCACATCATTATGTGGGGCACTAGTTCCAAGTTGCCTTCTGGGTCTCATGCAATAGAGGAGGCACAGATCTGCCGCCACACTGGGGGTAGGGACAACAGCCAGCTGCTCTGACTGAATGCGGGATAGCTAAACTTGTACTGTGGTGAGCCCTGGATGTCTCTGGGAATATATGTGTACAGTGAGGTCCTCCAGAGGGCTAGAAAAGACGATGTTCTGAGCATTAACCTGAAGTACTTCCTTGATCACAGAGATGAAGTTTTTCAGCTGGAAAAGAGCCAAGTATAAGACCCTCAAGACCAGAAAGGGAACATCTAAGATGCCAGCCATCCTCCCCTCCAGATCAACCAACAAGGCGAAGAAGGCAGTAACTTCCAGGTGACTGTTGCTTCCTGTCAAGGGAACAGTAAGAGTGGTAGAATCAACTGGCTCCTCAGACAGCCACGGGCCAGTCTGCAGGCCAGTGCTGTGAGAGTCTTTGTTTCCTCCGGAGACAGAATTTAAATTATTATACAGAATCTTCTAAATTTGAAATGTTGGCAACTGTTTATATATTTTTTTTTTTAAATTAAACTCTGGGCAGACAAACAAATACATTTGTATGCTAAAGGCAGCTTGCTGGCTGCAAACTGGGAACTTGGAGTTGCATTTGGTAATTTCAGCTAGACAACGTGCAAAAGGAAGAGAATGGCGGCGGAGAGAGCTGGTCGGCAGTGAAGACTTAGTTCCATCCCCCAGAGCCATGTAAAAAAGCCAAGTGTGGCGGGATGCGCTTGCAATTTCAGGGCCTGGGGAGTGGACGGGCCGTGGGGCTCGATGGCCAGTCAGAGTAATAGAATCGGTTTCTGGAAAAAGTGTGACAGTCCCTCCCTCCCTCAAAAAAAAAAAAAAAAAAAAAAAAACCAAGGTGGAAAGCAACTTAAGAAGATGTTTAAGAAGACATCCAAGGTGGACTTCCACCCCCCCCCCCCACATGCACAACATGCTCACAGGCACACACACACAGGCACATAGACATGCAGACACCAGTGAATGCATGCACACACACACGAACATGTACAAATATGCACACACATGATACAGGCACATAGACCACACATGCACTCATGTGCACACCTGAACCCAAACACATACCAATGTGTAACAGCGCACAGATAACAGGAAAACTCTTGACAGAAAATTTAAAAAAGCTTCAGCTTTCCTATCAGTGCCTGTCTGACCTTGGGAAAGCCAACCATTCGCTGGGCTGGTTTCCTCCTCTAGGACAGAAACTGTTGTCTCAGTCACACTGTTAGCCGGACTGCAGGCTCCTCGGGTGTCCTCAGCCCTAGGTTTCTGGGAAAACATTTTTTTTCTTTTATTCTACGCACTTAAAAATAGTGTCCCTAAGAAAGATAGTAAGGCAACCTAGACACTGCATTGTAACCATCTAACAAAAGCCTTAGGAGGAATTTCAGTGAAGAGGAAGATGTAAGTAGTGTGACATCCTCCATGGAGTGCTCGAAGGGACTTGTAAGGTGCTGAAACTGAACCAAGTTTCCATTCCCTAAGTGTAAGAAATGGGAAATCCCTATGAGTCAGTGTTCCAGGAAGATGACCATTTAAGAGTTAAGTGCATGTTGTGACTGGGAACAGTTCAGAGCCTTCATTGTACTGATGAATGCCACAAACCTGTGTAAGGCTACTGAAGCTGGATCTCCCAGGGCTATCCAAATTGGGGCTGGTGTGTGTGTGTGTGTGTGTGTGTGTAGGAGTAGGGGGATATGCAGGTTCTTACTGTGTAATCCAGGCTGGTTTCGAACCTTTAGCGCTTCAAACCTCAGACAAGCGCAGGAAGGATGCAGGCTGTGCACCACGCCGCCTGGCTCCCCTGGTTTCGTTTTGGTTTTGTTTTTTTAGCGGTCTTAGTGCACGTCTTCAAACGTTTGGTCTGTGCTAAGGAGGCTTGAATGACTTCCCTTGCTTTCAGTCACTCAACAGATTCTCCCTGTGTGCTGAAATTTTTCAAGGATTTCTACATTTATTATATGTCCCAAAACAAAAACAAAAAGAAAGAAGGAAGGAAAGAAAAACAAGGCATGTATTAAACATCTTGGCTTGTTCTTTCTCATCAAGTTCAGAAATTCCTCATTTAGTTGTGCTTCCCAACTCCGTTTCTAGAAAGAAAAGCCATTGTTTTTTTATGGAATCTTTTAAAGTCCTGTTTTAGCAAGTGCACACTTACTGGGTTAAAACAAAATATTAATAATAGTTCTAAAAATAACCTTTTTATGTCCTACTCCTGTGCTGGGATTCCAAACACATGGCCTTTTCCAGGCTTCCCACAAATTTAAACTTAATATAAGACTGAATTGCTTCTTAAAGTCATCAGTATTGTGTCTCCCTCTGGGCTTTATACAAAGCCAATTCCTGGATGTTTTATAATGAGGGTTTTTAAATCTGGACACCTGACATTGATATCGACAGACCTCTAGCTTCACAACCAGTGAACCTCTTCATTCAGTAGTCAATATTAAAAATTATCATGATAATTTGTTTTAGCACTCCTAAAGCTATCATGAGCATGTGAGTCCTAATGTCTTCCTTTTAATTGAACTGAATGCAGGTTGTAAACACAAACAAGGCAGTCTAGCAACTGAGCAGGAGTGTTTTACCTCCTGTCCAATAGCTTTGAAGGAACACCTCCTGTTCGGCTGTCTCCATGCCTTTTACAGCCATGTTTAATTTTATGCGTATGCACATAATTACATTATGCATTAATCCAGGAGTGCTTGGCAATTGTCCGCACTTGTATTTTCCCTTATTTATTTTGCAAATGGGAGACTCTCTGCTTTCTACAATCAGCTCCATGAGGGATGTGTCTGAAAGGTATTTCATTAAAGTTGCTTGTTTGGTTTTCTGTTTGTTTGATTTCCCACACCCCACTCGCTCTACTAAAAAGCAGCTGAAGGTATGTGGGCTTTTTATTAGGTCTAATGTCATCAGGAGTCCTTTTCTTTCAATCATCTTTTTTTTCCCATAGACATGAAAGATCTACGTGAAACATGCTGAACAGGCTCCCTGTGAAATACAGGAGCTTTTCACAACCTAACCCAGTCAGGGTACCCTGAGAATAGAACAAAGAAATTAAAACGCTGGATATGCCACAGTTGTCTCGTGCCGCAGTTAGAAATTTAATTATTTTATCTCATAGAATAATGTGCCCTTCAGAAATCATTTTGGACTAGATGTTTCAAACCAATGATCTGTAGTTAATTATCTTTAATAACTGTTGCACATTATGGTTAGATCTATGTTTTTGCTAAACCAATTAATAATATCTTCATTAGTATAAAGACAAGGTAGCAGGATCCTTTCATTTTTCACATTGAAAGAGTGGATATTTTAAACACTGTAATTTACTTTAGCCATACATTCCCAATGATATGACTAATTAATGAAACTTCAAAGACATAACTTCCAAAAAGCTACTTATTTTAGTGTCATTGTTGCACACTTAATGACATTAGGTTGAAGGCGTTGCTGACACCCTCACTATCCATGTCCTGGAATTGACTAAACCCTTTTAAGCCACCCAAATGTTTAATGTGAAGGAAGGAAGGGAGGGAGGGAGGGAGGGAGGGAG